CAACAAAAAAACAACACTGAGCTAGCACTTCGTCCACATCAACGGTTGGCGGTGGGAGCACTGGTGCGGCGGCGGGCAGCGGCCACGGCCGCACCCACGCCCCTGCGTGTATCTAGAAGACCTGGTCGATTACGCGAGCAGTCATCTGCTGAGAAAGATCTGACGGTCCTACAAGAGATCGCTCTTTCATCAGGAGGAGAAAAAACACAGACACAATTAACCGTCGACTCTCAGGAAAATATGGGAAAATATGGGGAGTGGGGGCGAAGACAAACACCCACAAAATATGGGAAACTATTGGGAATCGTTTGATTTGTGTGTATTTACTGGTGTGTCCCAGGGCCCCTTCATTTCAGCGCCCACTGCCGGGTGAGGTCGCCCACCTTCCGCCTCCTGGCCGGTCGGCTCGCGCTTGCGGCAGCTGGTGCTCATCGCCGCACGCAGGGGCGCCTCCAGAGGCGTGGCACCCGGGAGGAGGCTGCGCACGGCGGCACCGCGGCGGGCCTCCACGATTCGCTCGACCTCCGCGGGCCGGTCCGCAGCCACTGCGCATCTCTGCGCGACGCGCCGCCTCCGGCGGGCGCCTCGGCAGCCTGGCCCTCGCCGTCCTCCGGGAGCTTGGGCAGCTACACGCTCGTTCTCAGCCCGGCGTGCGGCCTTCGGGCTCGTCGGCGGAGGCGGCGGCGGCGGCGCGAGCGCGCTCTCATCCTGCTCGGGCTGGCCGAAAGACGCCGTCGCAGCCGCTGGCGCCTCGACTCGGCCGGGGTCGCACTCGTGGCAAGCTCGTTCTCGGGCAGTTGGCGCGGGGTGGGGCCCGTGGACTGCCTCGCCGCCTTCCCTGGGCCCCGACAGGTGACAATTCGGGGGAGGGGCTTGCTCACCTCTGCGTTCGCACGGAGGCCGATGGCGTCGGGCCAGGGAGCCTCCAGAGGCGCCATGGCAGCAGCGGCAGCCGCAGCCAGCTCTGGAGCTCCTGCCAGTGGTTACCAGCAGCACGCCGAGGAGCACTGGGGCCATATGCTTTAGGCGCGGTTGCCAGTATTCTGGGGAGTTGCGGCGGAGACAGGAAAGCAAGACGGTCCGGCGCAACGAGCTGCCATTACCAGCGAGCGTCAGCATCCGGGAGCTTCGAGACACATCCGCTCACGTTCGGAGGGCACCAACTATACACCTACACCGATCCTGGCCAGGCCGATCCTAGGCCCAGGATCGGTGTATACGCATCTCTGCCCAAGGCAGGATGGCGTACATCGGGTCGGGCGAAAGGGGGGGATTGGGAAAGGGGGGGTTACGAAATTTGCTGCATGCAGCTGGTTTCGGTCTCACCGAGGGGCTGATTCTCAAACCCCCCCTTTGCTATCCCCCCCTTTCGCCCGACCCGAGTACATACCAATTCTGAGCCCAGCGTGATCCTGGTCAGGATTGGCGTCGGTGTAGGGCTGGTGCCCTCCTGCACGTCGGACAGCGGCGGCGGCTGCGGCGGCGCGCGAGAGGCCTCAGCGGGCACCACGGCGGGCGGAGCGACAGGCGGCGGCGCGGACACGGAGGTGGAGGAGGAGGAGGAGGAGGAGGAGGAGGAGGAGGAGGAGGAGGAGGAGGAGGAGGGGAGGTGAGGAGGAGGAGGAGGAGGAGGGAGGAGGAGGAGGAGGAGGGAGGAGGAGGAGGAGGAGGAGGAGGAGAGGAGGGGAGGCGGAGGAGGAGGAGGAGGAGGAGGAGGAGGAGGAGGAGGTAGGAGGAGGAGGAGGAGGAGGGGGAGGAGAGGAGGAGGAGGAGGGGAGGAGGAGGAGGAGGAGGAGGAGGAGGAGGGGAGGAGAGGAGGAGGAGGAGGGAGGAGGAGGAGGAGGAGGAGAGGAGGAGGAGGAGGAGGAGGAGGGGAGGAGGAGGAGGAGGAGGAGGAGGAGGAGGAGGAGGAGGAGGCGCCGCACGAGCGCCCACCAGTGCGGCCGGTGGCGCTGCCAGCCATGGTGCCACGGGGGGCGCGGCCGGCGGAGGTCCGGCACCCCGGCGGGGCAGCGGCGGCCTGGGAGTTCTTCGGGGGCGGCAAGGAGGGGGGTGATGACTAGGGGGGGGTGGATATCCTCCTCTCCCCTCCTCCCCTCCTCCTCCTCCTCCTCTCCTCCTCCATCCTCCTCTCCCACCTCCACCTCCTCCTCCTCCTCTCCTCCTCCTCCTCCTTCCTCCTCCTCCTCCTCCCTCTCCTCGTCTGCTCCTCCTCCCCGCCCCCCGACGAGTCCTGAGGGGGGGGCGGCAAAGGGGGGGGTGATGACTAGAGGGGGTGGATCTCATGGCGGGGGCCATGATATTTCCCCAGATTTCATGGCGCCTCTTCTTATCTCATGACCTCCCTGGCCCCCCCGCTGGGCCGCGCACATGCCGCCGGTCATGATTTGCACCCCCCCTTTTGGACACCCCCCTCTTGGCCGCTCCCGAGTTCTGCGAGACCACGGCGTCCGCGTCGGCGACAGGGCCGGCGGCCGTGCTGCAGCTGCTGGCGGGCGCAGGCGAAGTCCTGTCAAGCAGTGGCGAAGCGTCCTGGCTCGCCTATGGACCCCCCAAGAAATGTTCTAAGAACCCTTTGTGGTCTGCACGAAATTGTCTTAGAGCATTTCTGGCTGGGGCCGTCTTGTTTTCATGCACCGGGTTAGTGTTCTAAGAACATGGCCTTTGTTCTTAAAACATTGTTGGCTTCTAAGAGCATGTCGTGGTAGGCCTATAGAAATGCGGGGGCGGTCGGTCCCTGCTCAGTTCTTGGAGGCCGCGGTGCTCAAGGAAGACACGGAGTCGGCGCCACCGTGGTCGTCGACCTTGCTGTACGCGGGCTCGCGCGGCGCGTGCGCCACGGGCTCCTGAAGCGGGATGTCCATGGGCAGCGCGTCGAGCCCAGACGGGGTGCCACATCCCATCAGGCTGCTCATGGCCGGCGCTTGCTCCGAACCGCGAAGGATTTTGAATGATGCCCCCCCCGCCCCCTACGCTCGCGGCTGGGAATAGTCGTCGTCCCTCCCCTCCTCGCCCCTCCCCTCCTCGCCCTCCTCCTCCTCGCTCGTCCTCCTCTCCCTCCTCCTCCTCCTCCTCCTCCTCCCTCCTCCTCCTCCTCCCTCCTCATCCTCCTCCTCCTCTCCTCGTGCCCCCCTCCTCGCCTTCCCCCTCCTCCTCCTCCTCCTCCTCGTGCCCCCCTCCTCGCCTTCCCCCTCGTCCTCCCCCTCCTCGTGCTCCCCCTCCTCGCCCTCCTCGCTCTGCCTCCTCGCCCTCCTCCTCCTCGCGCTCCTTCCTCGCCCTCCCCTTCCTGCGCAGGTAGTCCTGCGCAGGCAGAGATCGCCACAGTCGTGCTTAGAAGAAGAAGAAGATGGTGTATGTGGAGCACCCTAACTCTGGAGTAGCTCCACCTGAGAGAACGTTAACCTCCAGCATCACGAACCTCATGAGAAGGTTCGTGGTCCACGACAATCAGTTCCATCTCCACGGCCGCCGTCAGCTTGGTCGCACGTGAGGTTGGTGTCGGCTGTGGGGTTGCCTCGCGTGGATTTCGTTGCGCACTACTGTGCGCCGTGTTGGATATTGTTGGGCGGTTACTCCTCCCATCGGATAGTGCTGCATGGGCGACTTTCATTGCGCACTACTGTGCGCCGCGTTGGATATTGTTGGGTGGTTGCTCCTCCCATCGGATAGTGCTGCATGGGCGACTTTCGTTGCGCACTACTGTGCGCCGTGTTGGCTACTGTTGGGGGGTTGCTCCTCCCATCGGATAGTGCTGCATGGGCGACCCTGCGCGAGCAAGGAATTTGGAGCTTGTTTGTGCCAGGATTGCGAGGTAAGGCGCTACATCTCCAACCGAGTCGTCGAATGGTCTTCGTCGTCGTGGTCGTCGTCGGCGTCGTGGTAATCCTCGTCTTCGGTGTCTGCATGTGGGAGTCGCGGGGGCAACCGTGCGCAATAATGGCTCGTCATGGTTGTGGTGAGCTTGTTGTGTGGCTGCCGCGCGTGGAACTGTTGGCGCAATAGGGTTCGTCGTATCTCAGAGCGTGAATTACCTCCCCCGCTTTCGCTTCCAGGCAAAACCAAGTCGTACCACGCGCCTCCTCGTCAAGCGGCCTGACCAGTACAGGCTGCAATTTGGCATCGTTTGGTATCTCTTGGAAGCGAGGGTGGTCAAAAGCGAGGGAGGTTTGTTTCCCCCCTAGTATCGCATAGTGTCAGGTGGTTATTCTTCCCATCGCATAATGCGCCATGGGCTGCCAGGCACAACAGAGGGATGCTGTGCTTGGTTGCACACAGCTTCTAGAACCATTCGCCACGGCTCCAATCGATTTGGCGTGGTGCCGTCGTCGTCGTCGTCACGATTGTTCTCGTCGTCGTCTTGATATGGGAAAGAGACCCTAGAAATCGTAGAATCCTCAGGGACCCCTAAGACTGTTAAAGGGGGTCTTTGGAATCGTGGGAATTTCGAGGGGCTCCAGCAGTGGCCGCCGCGGGGGGGGGAATCGTTTTCCCAGTATCGCTTTCGGTTTCAATTCGCCAATCAGGTCGCGCAACAAAAAAACAGCTTCCAGTATGGGAAAGGGGGTTTTGTTAACACCCTTTTCCCGTTACGCGTGCTGGACGGCCACCTTGCGCGCCTTGATGCGACGTCTGACAGCAGCGGAGGCAGCACCAGATGGGTGGTACAACAGGGGGCGTGACATCAGCGGGCAGCCATGGTGGGGGGCACGGTCGGTCTGGATATTAGATGGCTACGGAGGAGGAGGAAAAGGAGGAACAGCAGGAGTTGTGGGAGGAGGATTTGCTGGGTCGCTGCAGTGCTCTGAGCCTTCCTCGCCATCTCTGCAGGGGGTGGCGACTGCGGCAGGAACGGACCTGACGCGCCATGCTAGGAGGAGGAGGAGGAGGAGGGGGAGGAGGAGGAGGAAGATGAGGAGGAGGAGGAGGAGGAGGAGGAGGAGGAGGAGGAGGAGGAGAGGCGGAGGCACCGCAGCAACATTGTTGCCTTCCTCGCGGACGCCATGTTCTTCTCCTGCTTCACGGACGCCTGGCAGGTGCACGGCAAGGCCCCTTGCGGATGGGGATCGGCGGAAGGGCCTCCTGCGCGGCTTGAGAAACAGGGGCGCCGTTTTGGGGGAAGGGGGGGGAGGAGCAGAAAAACAGGGTGGGAGGGAGGGAGGGGACGTTTGAAACACACGACTGAAGCACACAAATGGCATGACCAGCATTTGTCTGAACTCCGAGCGGAGTTCTTGGATCACACGGATTTGTCTGCCCCCCCGGAATGTTCCGCGCGCCAGGAACGGGGTTCCACCGGGAATCCGAGAATCCGGTGTGAGAAACAATATGTATACGTATGCAGTGTTTTGGTCTTCGCGACGAAAAACGTGGAGGAAGTCGGGGAGGGACATGGCGAGGGGGAACAGGGGAGGGGGGAAGGAGGGAATGAGGAGCGGAGGAAGGCGAAATAAACAGGGGGGGAATGAGGCAGGGGAGGGGAGGGACGATGGAAGAGTTGTGGCGGAAGGGGGAAGGAGAGAAGCGAGATTGGAGCAGGGGGGAGGCTTGGACAGAGGAGGAGAAGGGCGGAGGGGCGAGGGAGGAGGGCGGACGAAGGAAGGGGAAGCTATCTTTGCCCTCTCGAGGACATGCTCGAATAGCTCTTTCGAACACGCCCGGGACGAACGCACCAGAACCCGAACCTCCTTCCCCGCCAGTGTCCCCTGTCCTCATCCTGCCTTTGGGGGGAGGGTACAACGTCGAAATACAGCCGGGGCCCTGCAGAAGGAACCTTTTTCGTTGGGGAGGGGCTCGGTGTTCCTTGATTGTTCTACAGTTCGCCTTCTGTTTTCCTGAGGTTTTCCATGGGAAATCGAAATTCAACTTCTGGAGAAAAGGGGCATCGTTCCTTATTTAGGGTTCCTTAGGTCAGCGCCCCGACTGTCTTCCGCTTTCGCATGGATCTTCGGTTGTCGACGCTGCAACGGCGTGGCGGGAATGGCACGGGGCGCCCATCGCGCACGGAAGCGCGACAGTTCGTTCGCGCCGTGGCGCCAGAGCGTGCGCCCGCCTGCCACCAGCAGTCTCGCCACGTTGAGGCACGGACGATGCCAAGTCCGGGAATCACCATGGCATTGCGCTTTCCGCCGTGCTGACGCCGCCGAGACAACTCTCTCATTGCGCTATGCCTTGAGAGCTCGAGGGCTCGCATGGTTGAAAGACATATCGCCGTGGCGCCACGCCCAGCGTTCGTGAGAGATGATCTCCCGCGCACGTTGGTCACCCGCCACCTAGGGGGGTCGCGCGCACGGGCGAACTGCCCGTCTCGCATGGGCGCCGCGCAGATTTCGCCTCAAGGCCGTGGCTCTCCCATCTGCGGGCGCGGGGGCGCAGCTTTCGCCCGCCAAGGTCGTCGGGGGCGGGGCCGCGCGCGCGCACGAGCGGGCGCCTTTGGCTGCCCTCGCCGAGCAGCCCCGTCCCGATGTCGCCTGCCAGTCGCCTGCCCGCCCCTGCGCGGCATATGTTTCTGCCGCTGCCGGCCCGCGGGGAAGCGGCGTCGGCAGCAGGGCGTCGCGAGAGCGGGCGAAACGTTGCTCTCGCCTGGCGCCGAGCAGATCCGCGCGAGTGCGCGAGTGCTCTCCGTTAGCCGGGGGGGGGGGTGCGCGCCAATCCCAGCATCCAGCTGCGCAGTCATTGGCTCTTGTTCTATGGGAGCGGGGGCGGGAAAGGGCCGGGTCCGCTGATTCATTCGACCTGGCCAATCTGACTTGTACGCACGCTCCTGATCCAGAGCCTGCTCGTGCGCCGACAACTACCTACTGTTCCTACCCCCCACTGCTGCTTCTTGTTCTTCTTAGTCCTCGTCCCAGTCCTCTCCTCCTGCTGCTCTTGCTCCTCGTCTTCCTCCTCCTCCTCATCCTCCTTTTCCTCCTCCTCCTCCTCCTCTTCGTCCTCCTCCAATTTTGTCCTTACACATAGCTTCTTCCTGTCGCACCCCGAGGCCAGTTTTTAGTGCGGGCCGGGGGGTTCGCTGGAGATTAACTGTACACGGTATGACGCTGACGCTCAAACACCGGCAATAGTGTCACACATTCAGGGCGCGCCGATTCCAAAATGCGTCTCTCGCTCCAGCGCCGCGCACACTCTTGTCTGGAATCTGCAAAAACTTCATTGAATCAAGGCGACCCGTTTCCAAACGGTGGCTCTCGCTTCAGCGCCGCGGGCATTCGTTTTCAAAACTGATTGTGGGCGGCTGCTTTTCAAAATGTGGCTCTCGCCTTGACGCCGCGCACAGCCGTTTTTCCGTTCATAAAAGCAGTTGCCAGAACCTCACACATTCCCATGATCAACGTACCAGGAATGGTGTTTTGAAAGGGTTATGGATTATGCGGGTTCAAGAGTTACGTTGATTCTCGGTGCTGATGTTCCAGGAATGACGTTATGCCACGATTCACGACCGTCAAGACGCAACAGTCAGGTTGATCCGTGGCGCTGAAATCCCGAGAACAATGTTTTGGTGTACTTCAGCGTCTTCATACTAATGTCTTCCAACGGGGCATTTCCCTCAATGGAAACGAGCCGCTGTAGGGGCCTATGAAGCTGGAGCTTGGATGGAGGATTTATTCCAACATCGTTGATGGCTCTTGGGTTTACAGTGGTCCTCCTCCTCCCCCTCTTCCTTTCGCTGGAAAAGGAGGGAACTGATGCGGGCCAGCAAGCAGCAGCAGGGGGATAGGCGGCACCTGCGTCCTTCTGCCAGCTTCTGGATGGCGCTGCAGGCCCAGGGGGAACAGGAGGATGAGGAGAAGCAGGAGAAGGAGGAGGAAGAAGAGGACAGCTCTGGGAACGCCACTTGCGGCTCGCCCTCGCAGGGATCTTCACGAAGGAAGCGTACTGCAGCACGGAGTGGCCCAGCTACATTAACGCATATGGAGGCCACGGCACCGACTGGTCCCGGCGATCCGGACCACGCTCGGCGCCACCATCAAATGACACCGCAGCTCAAAAGGCCGCTTCCGGGTTGACGGTGCAAGCCTGGCGGTCGAGCCATTCCACAACCGCCTCCACCGAGCGTTCCAGGTGCATGTCCTGGGGAACTCGGCCCGCGGCCGCCGCATGGGCAAGCAGGCGAACCAGACGAAAGTCCAGCACGGCCGCGTGACGGAACAAAAGGCGTTGCGCAGGGCCCGCCAAACCCGTTTGTCGGGCAAGGTCCTCGTGGTCACCGACCGCGCCCCCCTTTTCCATGCACGACGAGGCAGCGACGGGCGGGCCGCCAGGCATATGGGACCTCCTCCACGAGCACTACGGGGCCCGGAACGTTCCCGTGCACCACGTCACGCCGTGGACTATTTTCTTCCGCGCGGGCATCGCCGTCCCAGTCGCGCGCGACGGCCGCGTGCGCACTGTTTGCGGCTTTCGTGCGATCGGCTCGACGACTACAGTGCAGTGGATGACAGGCTGGTCGGGGACCTCGCGCATGGCGCGTTTCCGCGGGGGGGGCCACGCCATCGCGGGCGGGTTCGTCATCCCGCCGTCGGGCCCGACCGCGCCCGGAAATGAACGCCTGGAGCTTCTCGCGGAGATCTTCGCCCAGTACGACCGCGTGCTCTGGGGCGCCCCAGACGAGACGGCCGTCTTGGTCTACGGGGACCTCAACCCCTTGGAGGCGCTGGAGGCGGCTGGCCCCAGACACGGGGCGCCGTGGTCCATAATTGAGCCCACTGCAAAGCAGCCGGGTGCACCCGAGCCCAATGCGGACGCCGCCACGAGACGTTCGGCAGCGCAGACTTGGACCACTACCCAGTCAGCTGCCCCAGGCACCAGAGCGCGGCCGCCCGGTCCGCAGGCGCGCGCTGGCAGCTGTGGCCCACGTTCCACCACCGAGACCCGGCCCAATGGCAGGAGGCCCAGATGCTCGTGCTCGACAACTTCCCCTGCCTCGCGCCCACGGAGACCCAGCGCCGCGCGCGCCGCCGAGCCAGCTGGCGTTCAAAAAGCGAGTCGGAGCTCGAGGTCGCGACGTCGGCTACTTCATGACTGTGGCAAGACCCCACTTTCCTCGCAGCACAGAGCACGGGCAGCTCTTTGAGGTGGCGCCGCTGCCCGAGCCTGGCAGCCCGGCCACGGCGCCGCTGAGCCTCGCGTGGGACTTCGTCTCCGGCATGCGCACGCGCGCGATGGGCCACGCGCGGACTTCAGCTCAGCGTTGGGCAGCCGACCCAGCAGCAGCAGACGCAGACCCCAGCCGGCTGCTCCGCGAGCGCGGCGCGAGGCTCCCCGACGGAGCCCGCCGACATGATGCGCGATGACGAGGTCTTCATCAGGGCCGCGGAATACATCGCGAAGAGCTGCCAAGACCGAGTCCAGCGATTGGAGCTGAGCACAGAGGAGGCCTGGGCGACGGCGGCCAGGCGCGCTGCAGTTTTCCGGGGTGACCGCCGATCTTGGCGGTAGCTGTGGGACACCGATTACCAGGAATACATTGCGAAGCAGCTCCAAGTCGCCACCGACAGGGTCATGACCGGCTGCGCCAGCGCGGGGCCCCCGTGCACGAGCGTTCAGCTGCCCGCCCCGGCGCGCGCCACCTTCCCCCCGGCAGGCAGCGCAGAACATGGCCCGACTTCTGAGAGCCAACCCCCGCGGAAGATACAACCCACGCCCCGCAAGCGCAAGCCCAGACAGTCGCCCGAGCTGTACCCCAGCAACAGAACGCTGAGCATCAACGCTCTGGAACTGCGAGTAGCCGAAGCGCTGTGGGCCACCGGGGCGGAGGAGGCTGCGCGGCTCGGAGCGGGGGGGGGCCCGTCTGGCCAGGGGGGCGCACTGGTTGCAGCATGCGTCGCCGCAGTAGGTGCGCGCACCGTCAGGCAGGGCCACAACCACCCCTACGGAGAGTGCCTCGTGGACTTCGCGGGCGCTTCCGACGCCGCTTAGCCCCCTGCAGTCATTTTCGACTTCCATGGCACGGCTGGCTTGGAGGGAAAGGGTTTTGCGACGGCTGCAGCCGCGGTCCGCGACTCCTCCGTTAGCGCCACCTCTGGCCACGTCGCCGCAGCGTTGCAGGCCCTCACTGCAGGCGTGCCGGAGGGGAGGCGGCTAGCTCCAGCCTTCTTCGCGCGCTCAGCCAGGCGCTTCCCGGTCGCCATCGCGGCGGCCCACTTTGGCGCGGGCCTCGACCCGCCGGAGGAGGCTGCGCGCGCGCTCGACGGGGGCCGCCGCGGCGCGGGCGACGCGACCGGGCCCGGCCGCGCGGCGGCCGAGGAGGAGGCAGCGAGGGAGGCAGCAGCGGGAGAAAAGAGCTGAGAACAGGTCATGACCAAGGCCACCTCCGACGCCGATGGGCTCCGCATCGTCGACGCCGGAGCCCCGCGAAGGTCGGTCTGGCGCAGTTCATGGATGGCAACGCCATGCGATCCCCCTCGCGGGGCGCGCAGGCCGCGGGCGCGCGGGCGCTGCAGGCCGCGGCGAGCAGGTTGCGCGCAGGGGCCCGCTACGGGCCGAGCACGGCGGAATGCTTGGCTGAGTTTGTCCGCGCCCGCCCCCCGCACGACGGTGCGCAGCGCGCCGATGAGCACGCGCGCGCGGGAGCCCCCATCGATGAAGGCGCGCGCGCGACGGCGCTCATGCAGCACGTCGAGCACTCCGCAAAAGGAGGCTGGCATGTCCTCCTCGCGGCCCTGGAGCTCATCGGGTTGCCCGCGACGGTGGCCCCGCGCGCGCTGGGCGCCAGAGCCCGACCGCAGGCGTGCTGGGCGGCGCCCCTCTGCGTCGTCCGCCGCGACTTGGAGGCGGGGTCCTCCCGGACATCGACGCGCCCGCGCCGAGGATCCCCCTCCTCCTCCGGCGGCGACTCTCTGCGCGGACCCTCCGAGCAGCGGCGGCGCTGGCAGCCGGGATCGTGTCCGCCGCGCCAGGGCCACAGCCCAGCCGGGTTGCGCATATCGTGGCGCCGACGGCCCCCGCGTGGATGCGGGCGGTGCGCGCCGACTTGGAGGAATGCGCCATCCCCGAGTATTCGGCGCAGCCCCTCCACAGGTGCCAAGGGCCCGCGCGCGCGTCGGCGCGGGCGGGCAAGCAGCGGCGCATTCGCACATACCTCATCATGGCGGCCGTGGACCCCCAGCTGACAGAGGTCGGGCTGGGATGGTGCACCCGCGGCCGCCTACCCACCGTGAGGCGACAGCGCTGCGAGCCAGGCGGCGACCGAGACGTCGACCCCGCGGTCAGCCATCCGGGCGCGGGGCGCTTCGCCGTGCACACGACCACCTCTTGAGCCACATGCCCACGGTGCGAGGAGGTCATCTCCCGCCGCGGGCTCCACCCTCTGGGGGCGCGCCGCCACGCCGAGGCAGCGGCCCGCGAGCTCGCGCGCGGCACGGCGCGGGCGGAGTTCCCGGCGGCGGCCGTCCTCACTGGACTGCGCGCGGGCCTGGACATCGAGGCGGGGGTGGCGGTCGCCGCGAACCCGGCGCCTATCGGCCACGCCGCGGCGGCAGCCGACTCGGGCTCAGCGCGAGTAGAGGCCGCTGGCGCCGCCTGCCCGCAGCGCCGCCGCCGCCTGCGCCCCGCCGTTGCCGCCGGGCGCTCGGGCCGAACCCCGGGCAGCTGGGCGCCGCGGCCGGGCCGCCCCGCCGCCGCCGGCTGGCCCGCGCTGAGCCCGCGCGCCCGAGTGGCGCCCTGGGGAAGAGATCCTCCGTGAGCGCCCAGTCCAGCGCGGAGGCAAAGTCGCACCTTCGTGGGCGACCCACCGCCCTGGGCTGAGTCTCACCACCCACCAAACCACCCCAACCCAACCCGAAGGCTTCAACTTGCCCTCGATTTCCAGTTGGGGGGGGGTCGGGAAACATCGAAAAAACACGTGTGGAACCCTTACCCCCCCAACCCGAAATTCGGGTCTTCGGGTTGGGCTGGGGTGGTCTGGTAGGTAGTCAGAGTCGCTGGCAGAGCCACGCATCTAAAATCCGTTATTTTCTGTGTTCGCCTGCCTGTCGGCGAACGCCCAGCAGTTCGACATGCTGTCGCCGCGTCAAGGAAAGAAACGAGGAGGCGGAGGAGGAGTATGAGTTGGAGGAGGAGGAGGAGGAAGAGGAGGAGGGGGAGGACCTCCTCCTCCTCCTTCTCCGTCTCCGTCTCCTCCTCATCAAGTTTATTTTGTTCCTCCTCCTCCTCCTCCTTCTCCTCCTCTTCCTCCTCCTCCTCCTACTGCTCCTCCTCCTCCCCTTCCTCCTTCTCCTCTCCTTCCTCCTCCTCCTTCTGCTTTGCTCTTCCTCTTCCGCCTTCTCGTTTATTACTTGTTCTCGTTTTTGGTTTAAGTTTCTTGCCTGCCCGGTGCGCGTTCCGAAGCGGCGCCGACGGTGACGGCGGTCGGACTTGCGGGGCCCAGACCTCTTGCGGATGGTTGTTCTGTTCGAGCCCCTCGCTTTGACAACATGCGGCGGCGAGCCCTAGGGGGGGAGGCAGCGGGGGCGGGGCTGTTCAGAAGGCTTCGAGAGCTTCCGACCTTCGGGAAAGCGTTCCAAGTCTCCTCCGAAGACGCACGCGGCTTCTCAGAAGGACCAGGTGTGTCGGAGAAACCCCGCCGCCGCCCGAGAAGGCCTGCCCCCTTCTGACTCCCCCCGCGGCCGCGCTGCCAGGCAAGGTTGCGGCCTCCTGGGGCAGTCTCTCGGGCCCTGGGGCCCGCAGGCACCAAATCCTGGGCGCGCAGAATAAGGCCCTGCGCGTACCGCCACGCTGGCCCCCCCGGGCAGGCTGCTGCCCGGCGGAAGGGGAAGGAGGAGGAGGAGGAGGAGGAGAAGGAGGAAGAGGAGGGGGAGGAGGAGGAGGAAGAGGAGGAGGAGGAGGAGGAGGAGGAGGAGGAGGAGGAGGAGGAAGAGGAGGAGCAGGGGAAAAACAGGCAGACAACGACGAGCGCGCACGCGAGAGGCCAGGGCCGGCGGAGCGGGCGAGCAGGCGGAGGGGGTCGAGGCCTCCCTGGCTGGAAACGGCAATCCGCCAGACGCCATCGAGCTGGGAGGCCAACGGCGGATGCTGGTCGGGACAGGAGCGAAGTCGTTCGGAGTCTCTTGTAGCTTCGGACCGGGCCACCTCAGCAGCTTGTTTCGGGCAAGCAGGGAGGCGCAATGATCGGGTCGATCAAAATGGGTACGTAAAACGTACGCGCGATGCCCAACGCCAGTTCTTGTTCATTTTGAGCAGGGCTCGCTGTTCGCGCCGCCGCGGACGTTGTTCTTTGAAGACAAGAGGCCGCCCGCCCAGCAGCAGCCGCTTTCGGCTTTCGACGACATTGTTGCTGGGCATCGTACCTTTTTCCCCGTTCCCATCTTGGGCGTCAGAGCCCCGAATCATCAGGATTGGGGTGCAGGGGTAGCTCCTGATTGGCCCAATCGGAGCTGCCCCGGACCAGAGCTCTCCCCGATGATTCGGGCGTCCAGCCACTACCAAATCATCGGGGCTCGGGGTGGTCAGGGGTAATTCCTGGTTCGCGCGTCGGGGTCCCAAGCCAGAGTTGCCCTAGACTGGAGTTATATCCTGCAGATTTCGGGCATCCAAGGATGGGTGATATGTTACACTTTTGGAAGACGTCCTAGTGAGTTTGTCGCCTCGCGTTCTCAAACCTTTCCCGCTGACCAGCCAACTTTCCAGGGAGGCATCCTGAGATACAGGATGTCTCACCCTTGGAGCGGTACGGTTGTAGTTCTCCGGGCTCTCTCTTGTTGATGTCTCCTCCTCTCGTTCCACCTCCGTCACCTTCTGGGCTCAAGTTGTGCTTTAAGGTGTCGAGGTGGGGCGAACCATCAGGTTCACGGCGCCAACATCGCAGAGCGGATTCCGTTCGGAAAACGGTAGGATGGGCCCGGAATGTCCTGGAGAAGTTCGTTCCCGATTTCGAGGTGAATTTCGCGCGGACTTTCTTTGGCCAGAAATGAAGACTGAAACAAATCCACGCGAAATTCAATCCGTTATTCACTCGCCGTTTCGGGTGTTTGCACTGACGGAAGTCCACGCAAAAATCCGCTGGAGCACGTCTGCAAGGTCGGTGCCGTGACAAAGGCGTCGAGGTGGGACGAACCGTCAGGTTTGCAGAGCTCTGCCGCGCGAATGGGCCAGGTGCTGGCACTGCGCTCTCCGGCGCTGCCGGACGCGGCGCCCGTGGTCGGCCTGGCATTGCCCGAGGACCTCCGACGCTTCCTCCTTGCCTCGCTGCCCACCGAGAAGCCAGACCTCGAGAACTCTGGCTTCGAGAGCCATGTCGACCATGCGCAGGTTCCTGGGCACCGCTACCTCGAGGGCTACTTCCATGCGGTGCCGGGTGCGCACGACCGCGCAGTTGATTCCATCCATTCGGGGGAGCGTAAGACCCGGGTTTGCCGGGACTCGGGTTCGCCATCGTTTTTTGACGACCGCGCCTCGGATTTTGACGAGGAGGAGTTTCGCGGGATGTCTGCAGCGGGAGGCCTCGTCAAAATGCAGGCTCGGCCTCGTCATTTTTTTGACGACCTCGTCGGGGATTTCGGAGTCCCTTGTACCCAGGTCTTACGTCCCCCTGACAGTTGATTCCATCCATCCTCGCCGAGGGCATGAGCTCTCGCGCCGCCCAGCACCGCTTCCACTTGCTGCTTTCTGCGAGGCATTCCGGCGGGTTAACGCACCCCTGTTCGCTGCACTGGAGCGGGAGCTCGCGGGATCCACGACAGCGGCGCCCCTTGCTGCCGTCTTGCGCCGGCGTGCGCACTTTGACGAGCCTGTTTTCCACCACCACCACCATAAGTTGGAGGGGGGAAGGAGGAGGAGGAAGAGGAGGAGGAGGACCCCACCCCCTCCAACTTATGATGGTGGTGGTGGAAAACACGCCCATCACACTTCGCCGACCTATCTGTGCAGATTCATTGGGGCGATGAGGTGCCCCCACAACATGTGGCGTGGCACATTGATGCGCCGAACTCCTTCTTGCACATGGCAATTGGGTTGCAAGGCTCACGTGCACTTCATGCACGCCGCTGTGTCGCGAAGGGCCGCACATCGAAGAGTTGCGGTGTGGGCGCGAGTGATGGCCGAGAGGTGTTGTGGCAAAGCGAGGGTGCGGCATATCTTGGTTCGCCTTGTTGCTACCCACATGCTGTGGAATACCCGTGTGTGGACTGGGCTGACCGTATTGTGGCCCTTCAGTGTCGCTTGCTCCTCAGCGAGGAGGAGCTGTTCTGCACGATGCGAGATACAACGTTGGACGTCGACCCTCATGGAGGCACGGCTGCAATCGTCTTCGGACACTTTTCTGCCATGGCCCATGGAGCCCTGAAGATGCCAGGATTGCTCGATGTTCAGGAGGTGCTCAAAGAGTTCGGTCGTGCTGAGGGAGCGTGCCAGTCAGCTGCGAGCGCCACTCTGGAGGGACACGCCCGATTTAATTTCGTCTGTTGCTCACAGACCCGTTTGTACAGGGCTGATCGACTGGGGCCGCGCGTGCAGTGCAGGAGGCTTCGCGCCCCCGTCGAGGCCACGATTGTCAAGCCGCACGGCACACGGGCCGAACCCGAGGCAAACCGTCTCCCTCATCGGCCTCCTCATCCCAATGCTGCCTCGCTACCCCTTCCGCCTTCCTCCTCCTCCTCCTCCTCCTCCTCCTCCTCCTCCTCCTCCTCTGTTTCCTCCTCCTTTCTCCTCCTCTTCTCTCCATTTCCTCCTCGTCCTTCGCTCGACTCCCCCATCGCTGTCTCGCCCCCCTCTCTCCCGTCTCATTCCCTCCCCTCGCCTGCCCCTGCCCCACCACCAGGATCAGACCGCCCCCAAACGAACCGCGGCGCGCACACAGCAGACATGAGAACCTGTCCACCCAACACAAGGTTTTTCGGGGGGCTGGGCTCTGGGGCATATCTGCACAGGGCGCCGCCGTGGCGCAGGAAGGCTGGGACAGGCGCCGGGCGGGGCCATGACCAGGATAAATCGGTCCAAAAGGTTCGGGGCTCAAGAGACGGGGGTCAATGCCAACGGGTTCAGTCAGAGCGCCGGATTTTGTAGGGTCCTGCAGAGCCAGGGTCGCACTGACCCGGATCTGGGTGCAGGATCGTGCGGATCTTGCAGGATCTTGCAAAGCCTGACTGACCCGGGTCTGGATCGACCCGGGTCAGTAGATCCCCGAAGGTTCCTCTTCGATTCTCGATTCCCTTGACCCTCCATCTTTCTCGACCTCCGACCCGACTCGATCCACGATCCTGCAGGACGACGTCGGGAGGGGCCAGGATAGGGATAAATCGTTCCAGAGGTTTCCGGACGCCCTCAGAGCGTGCAGGAGCGCTCTGGAACGGCCGCGGCGCCCGACGCTCACCACTCACCAAGCCACCCCAACCCAACCCGAAGGCCTCAATTTGCCTCTCTATTTCCAGTGGGGGGGGGTCGGGGAGCATTGAAACAACACATGGAACCCGTACCCCCCCCAACCCGAAATTCGGGTCGAATTCGGGTCTTCGGGTTGGGGTTGGGGTGGTCTGGCAGGTCGTCTTATGTCGGGCCTGTCCCCCTACAGGGGGTTTTTCGACGAAAAATAAAGATACCCCAAAAATAATCAAAAAATAGTCTGGGGGGTATTTTTTGATTTTGCCTTTTTGGTGTATTTTTTTGTGTATTTTCATGTTTTTGTCGAAAATCCTCCTGTAGAGGGACACGCCGGACATAAAGGTAGTCAGACTCCGATGTTGTCCTACCTCCCGGCTTCGTCTTAAGATGTGCTCTGGGCTGCGCTCGTGGGCGTGCGGGGCCTCGCCTTGATCTGCGTGCGGCGCAGTGCTGCTGGCCCCCAGCGAGGGGCACATAAAAGTTTGGACAGTTTCAGGAGGGGGCGAAACCACACTTTTGGTCTGCGGGTCGAGAGCGAGCCTCTTCCGGTCAAGAGCTAGGCGGGCCGCGCAAAGCACTAACTGGGGAGACAGAGCACAGGCGGGCGGGGCCTCAGGCGGCCAGAGGGCGCGGGGTGCAGGCGGTGCTGAGGAAGGGGGGAAAAACACACAGACACAATGAATCGTCGATCCCCAGGGAAATATGGGAAAATATGGGAAGTGGAGGGGAAGACAAAAACCGAGAAAATATAGGAAAAGATGGGGGATCCTGTTATTTGTATGTATTTATTTGTGTGTCTCTGGGCCCCTTCGCAGTTGGGCGTTCGACATGTTCCACGGGGCAGGGACTACACAAGGCTCCAGCAAGGCTCCCTTCAGCGCGCTGGATGGTAAGTCGAGTCGTTGCGGAACCCGCAAGACCCGCATCTTAGACTCATAGAAGGAAAACGGCGCTCCAGCTTTCGGTTGTTGACCTTCGAGAACATTCTAGACGCTTCACGTAACCCCACCAGTGCCTGTCCGCGCAGCCTGCCGCTGCTTGGTGAATGGGCCAGCCGGCTTGCGGCGCGTTTAGTAGCTAATTAGGCCGTTTCCGTGTCCCGGAGCGCTTCTGATTCCGCTAGCGCTCTCGCTGGTGGACGCGAACGAAAAAGTAACCCCACCAGCCCATGCAGAAACGATTCCCAGACGAGTTGCCCAGATCAGGGATGTGGGGGAAAATTTAGTATAATAAAGGGCTAGGTAAACCGTCGTACCCCAAAAGGGGAAGGAAGGAGGAGGATCAGGAGAAGGAGCAGGAGGGGGAAGGAGAAACAGGCGGATGAGGAAGTGGAGGAAGAAGGGCGAGCAGAAAGAGGCCAGAGGCATCTTTGATGCCGCTTGGAGTCTCTTCGGATTTCGTTCGACAGTTTCTTGGAGTCCTCTTGGGGCGTTTGTGGGGTCTCTTGGCAGTCCCAGGGGCATCTTGGGGCGTTTTGGGTGCCTCTGGGGGGCCTCTTAAAGCCTCATGGGGGTCTCTTGGGAGTCTGCCTCTTGGAAGTCTTGGGGGCATCGTGGGGGCATCTTGGGGCCTCCTGAGCACCTCTTGGGGGGCCGTCTTGGGGCGCCCTTGGAAACCTCGGGGGCCATTTTGGGGCCATCTTGTATGAGATCGATCGAAGGAGGAGGGCTCCTTACTTAGAGTCCCCCTGGTCCCCCCCCCCCAAGATGCCAAACTGTGAACACTACTCCGACGGTAGGACCCCACATGAGAATATGTTTAGCTTACCCTTTGCCCTTTCCTCCTCCCCTGGCGGACACCCTCTCCTCTCGCCCCCTGCACTGCCCTCTCTTCCCCCTTCTATTTCTCTTCCTCCTCCTCTTTCTCCTCCTCCTCCTCCTCCTCCTCCTCCTCCTCCTCCTCCTCCTCCTCCTCCTCCTCCTCTCGCGCCACCTCCTCCTCGTCGTCGGCCTCCCCCATGCCCCTTCCCTCCTCATCCCCCTGCCTTTTCTCCATGTGCACCTCCCCTTCCCCCTCGTCGGGGCAAGCAAATCCATTTTCCTCAGCGCCGTCGCCGCCTCGGCCAGCGCGCGCGCGTCTGCCGACGGCTAGATCGCGAAGCCGTCGGGACAAACCTTCGGGCTGGGCCGTAGGCTCCCGCTCGAGACTTCCTCCATATTCATGTCTCAAGAGCCCAAAAGTGACGACAGTTGCACGTTGCGGATGACCCGCACGGATTCGAACATGAAGTGCGGGCCCCATAGGGAGGGGGCTCCCGCCTGAGACTTCCTTACAATTCACTCACAGACGAGGCCCCCGCTCGAGAACGACAGTTGCACGTTGCGGATGACCCGCTCGGATTCGAACATGAAGTGCGGGCCCCATAGGGAGGGGGCTCCCGCTTGAGACTTCCTCACATTTCACTCACAGATGAGGCTCCCGCCTGATACTTCCTCCATATTCAGGCCTCAAGAGCCCAAAAGTGACGACGGTTACACGTTGCGGATGACCCGCTCGGATTCGAATATGAAGTGCGGGCCCCATAGGGAGGGGGCCCCTGAGACTTCCTCGCAATTCACTCACAGACGAGGCTCCCGCTCGAGACTTCCTCCATATTCAGGTCTCAAGAGCCCAAAAGTGACGACAGTTGCACGTTGCGGATGACCCGCTCGGATTCGAACATGAAGTGCGGGCCCCATAGGGGCGGGGCGCCCGCCTGAGACTTCCTCACAATTCACTCACAGACGAGGCTCCCGCCTGATACTTCCTCCATATTCAGGCCTCAAGAGCCCAAAAGTGACGACAGTTACACGTTGCGGATGACCCGCTCGGATTCGAATTAAACTGCGGGCCCCATAGGGGGGGGGGCTCCCGCCTGAGACTTCCTCGCACTTCACTCACGGACGAGGCTCCCGCTCGAGACTTCCTCCATATTCAGGTCTCAAGAGCCCAAAAGTGACGACAGTTGCACGTTGCGGATGACCCGCTCGGATTCGAACATGAAGTGCGGGCCCCATAGGGAGGGGGCTCCCGCCTGAGACTTCCTCACAATTCACTCACAGACGAGGCTCCCGCTCGAGACTTCCTCCATATTCAGGCCTCAAGTCAGCGAGTATGATGATGATGATGATGATGATGATGATGATGATGATCGTTCGATGCCGATGATGGTGAGTGATCGTGGGATGGTGATGCTGATGCTGATGTGATGATGATGATGATGATGATGATGATGATGATGATGATGAGTGGGGAGTGATGGTGATGGTGATGATGATGCGGAGGAGGAAGCAAAGAGGAGCAGAGGAGAGGGAGGAGGAGGAGGAGATCCTGCGCGGAGGGTGTGCAGAGAAAACAAGAACCCCACTTAGGATGTGGGGAAAAAAACACCCGAATGAAATCAATGATTTTGGCTTTCTCGCCGAGGCCTCTTGGGGCGTCTTGGGTGCGTCCGGGGGGCCTCTTGGAG